TCAGAGCTGGCGCTCTTAAACCAACTCCTAACCAACTGAGCCACTCTGCCGGCCCTCCTGCGCCTTTTTAATTGTCTCCCTTCCCACATTTTCTGTCTTCATCACCAGATAGCCACTGATCTGCTTTGTTATTATTAATTTTCATTTTCTGTTAGTGATATGTTCTTTAAGATTTTATATGTCTGAAAAAGTCTTCATTTGATTTCATTTTCAAAAAAGATTTTTACTGGGCAAAGAATTTATTTCTCTTCAGAACTTCTTTTCCCCACACAGTACTTTACTGATATTTTACTGCTTTCTAGCTTACATTGTTTCTAACAAAGACGGCCTATTGTATGCGATCTGGCTGCCTTCTTCAGCCCATTACCTTTCAGACCTCGTTCTAGGTGTGTTTCCTTTGGGCCTTTGTATTGGCTGTTTTCTGCTTGGAACCCTCTTCTGATTATCTGCATGGCTTCATCATCATTTTCAGGTCTTGGCTTAAGTGTTTTCTCAATGGGGGCTGCCCTGACAATCTCAAGTCAAGTTGTTATCTGATACCTCCTCTACTGTCACACTCCTGATCCCTTTACCTTGTTCGATTCTTACTGCAAACTTATCATCTAAGATACTATATAATTTATTGTCCACTAGAATGTATGAAGATACAACATTTTGTGCAGATTTTGAGACTAAAATAAATTTCTTTGTCCCCATTATTCAAATTGAATAATTATCAATCAAGATTTTGCTACATTTGCTAAATTCTTTTTTCTTGGCTGAAGTCGTTTTTGAACCTTTGTATGGTAACATGAAACACAGATACATAAAAACAAACCATATCAAGCTTAATGAATATTATAAGATAAATATCCTTTTAACCACCTCTTGGGAATGGTTTGAATCCTTTTGTGTCTTTTAAAGTTTTTTGAGGGTGCATATGGAACCATTTTTAGCATGGACTAACTTGCCCCTCACCGCCCCCCCCCCTTCTGAACACTCTTGATGCCCTCTGTGTTAGGAGGCCTTTCTGCGTTGGCTGACAGAAATATGAACTATTCCTGATACCTTGTGAGCACAGGGAAACGCTCAATGAAGACTTGACCACTGATATTCAGATCCTTCTTTGTGTGCAGCTATCTCCTCTCATACTTGACCTTGGGTATGCTAGGTGCACTAAGGTTTGCACTCTGTCTCCTCAATTCAGGTCAGCTGTTGAGCTCTGTTTGGGGTCTCCCTCCATTATTTGCTCTTGGAAATGGCCTTCAGGCAGAAAGCTGGGCAATCAGAAAATTCACCTCATTGGTTTCCCTTCTGTCACTGTTCTTTGCTGTATGTTGTCTGAAAACCATTGTTTAATATATTTTATCTGAATTTTAGTTGCTTAAGGCAGGAGGGTAAAGATGTTCCCAGTTGTTCCATAAAGTCTTGAAATACAAGTTCTCCCCCTTTTTTTTAACATACATTCTTCATTGTGAACATTAAGTTATCTGAGATGTGTGTGTTTTTTTTTTTTTATTGGGGAATTGGGGGGATGGGAACAGTGCTGGGGAATTGGGGAAAGGGGAACAGACAAGTTGCCGTCGTTTTGCTCCTCAATCTAGTTGTGGAGGATGTTGCTTCACTGGCCCAAGTTGGCACCATCATTGAGCTCTTCTCTGGCGAGGCAGATCAGTCGCCGGCTTCTGGACGGCCGCTCACTGCGGCTGCTGGCCGCTCACGCTGGCTGCTGGCCACACACGGTAGCCCATGGCAATCCACTGCCACAGGGACTGCAGCCCACGCCGTCGCCGGCGACTCATGGCAGCCCAGCTCCAGGTTGAGCTGTTGTTCAGCATCTTAGCTGTGGAGGGCAGTGTCACTGGCCCTCATATGTGGGATCCGAACCGGGGCCCTCTGGCATCCCAAGCGAGTTCTCAACCATCGCGCCACTCGGCCGGCCCATGAGATGTGTGTTTTATACTTTGTATTTCCATTTGTGACACTAAGAAAAATTATCTTACAGGAACAGAAGAAGAAGGAGAAATTAGAGAGAAAAAAGGAATCTTTAAAAGTTACTAAGGTAATACAATACATAGTAAGCTAGAATATATTGAATATGTTGCCTTAAAAACTCTGAAGAAATTCTTTCGTATTCTTTTGACTTTATTGCTCATATATTTAATTTTAACCTTTATCTGATAACCTTTGTTACAAGTTGCAGAGGGACTTGAAAAACTTTCTCAGTATTTTAGACAGGGAAGGAGAGCTACAGTGACCCCATTCAGTTTCTTATTCTGTGGACTATTTTTCATAAAAGCAAAATTTTACTTCCTTATCTGGGAAAAAGCTGCAAAAGTTTCATACCTGAAGGCATCTTATAAGTGGCCAGATCTTTTGGAGTCCTTAATGATTGCTCTTTCTCTTTCATGCCTTAAACCTTATCTTGTCAACTTGAAGCCATAACAATAATACAAATTTTTATCTTGTGAAAAGCTGCAACAGTGGAACCAAAATTATAGCAGTCATCTCTTAATAACATTTCAAATAATAGAGCATTCATTTACTACTGATAGCCTGAAGTTTAGATATTATCTTTGTAAAGAATATATATTAATGTGAGGCTCCTTAATGCCATATTGATGGGAATTGTATAAAGAGCAGTTGTGCTAGTGAAAAGAGAAATAATAAAGGTAACATTTATTGAGTATTTATTGTGTAAGGCATTCTTCTAAGCTTCACATGCTTTAATTCTCAAAACAGCTCTGTTAGGTGCAGGTAATGTTATTGTCCCCATTTTACATATAAAGAAGCTGATGCAAGGAAATGAAGTACAGTCCATCCTCGTTTGCAGATTTCATATTTGCAAATTGGCCTACTGGCTAAAATTTATTTGTAACCCCAAAAGCAATACTTGTGTTTTTTAGGGTCATTCATTCACATATGCATGTGAAGAAAGGCCAAAATTTGAGTCTTCAACCTGCACATTCCCAGCTGAGGTAAATTAAGCCATCACACTGTAAACAAGCTGGCATACTGTAACAAGTATCCTTTTGGTGGTCTATTTAATGCCACAATTTTTGCATTTCTGTGATATTTGTTGATATTGCTGTTTAAAATGGCCCTCAGCACATTGTGCTAAAGTGCTTTCTAGTGTTTTTAATGCAAGGAGGCTGTTTTGTGCCTAGTAGAGAAAATACGTGTGGTAGATAAGCTTCCTTCAGTAGTGAGTACAGTGCTCTTGGCCCTGAGATCAATGTTAATATATACATTAAAGAAGATAAAACAGCAACACACATAAAATGGGGTTCACATGTTGATTGGTTGATGAAAATGTGACCAGAGCTTTGGCAGGACCTTAAACTTGTAATTGTCCTAGAGGCAGTGATTCAGTGTTCACCAATTCAGTATTCACAGTGACTTTATAGAAGATAACTGCTGCAAATGAGAATTGACTGTAACTTGCTGAAGATCACACATCTAGTAAATAATAATGGCAGGATTTGAACCCAGCATTAGTCTCTGCCCCAACAGTTCTATACTCAACTGCTTTTATTAGGAAATATCAAAATGCAAAAAGGCAAAATAGGTAGGGTATCTTTAAGTTTAGTTATTTGAATCTTAGTATGGTTAGTGATGATAATGTACAGTCGATACTGTTGCAATAAAAGCAGTTATTAAAAATGATATAATTTGACTCAGTTGCTAATTCTAGGGACTTAGCAACAGTTGCTAATTCTAGTTGCTATTTTGGTTTTTTTTTTAAAGGACACACAATATTCGTGGTATTTTACTGTCTTAACCATTTACTCCCTACTCTTCATCTTCAGCCAGTTGCTTTAATCCATCCTTCACTTTTGCTCAGCTAAGTTTTTATACCAGTGGTTTTCTTTTTTTCTCCCCCGCCCCCCACTTTGTTCTAAAGCAGCGGTTCTCAACCTGGGGGTCGAACGACCCTTTCACAGGGGTCGCC